TGCCCTGACTGCCCCGATAATGAACTGTAATCTATAAACTGAAATAACCCCCCTCTTCCCAGTCCCGGTATTTATTACAGCAACAGAGGCTAACAAGAACATGCAGCAAGGCTACGGTTCCAAGGCAGAAAGGGGAGCAGGCTCTCCCCATCATTTCTTAATCATCTACTATGATCAGGCACAGAACCAGGAGCTCCATCATGATTTCCTGAATGTGAATTCATTTTGAGAACCAGGAAGCGGGTTCTAGTAGTTTAACTCCTTTGTCTCAGGCCTTAGATCCTGCGCTGGGGCTGTTCCTCAATGCTCCATTCTCAGCAACATCCATGATCCCCAATTCCACTTTCACCCATATTCTCAGAGCTCTGCTAGGGTTCAAGTCGCATGCCTATGGAGCAGCAGCGAATGACGCCCTGCAGCCCTGCTCACCACCCCAGGAGGCCTCCCTGCTGCTGGACCACTGCAGAGAAAGGCACCTAGGCTTCAGGACAGTGAACCACCACGGGTCCTCCCAACCCTGCCCTGCATCTCCCGCCAGGGACTAACTTTAGCCTGCACCAAATTAGCAGAAGGCACAGAGAATTGGTACAGTGTTGCTCCAGCAGGAATCCCATGGGGAAAGGGGATTCTGATGGACCAGGATGATGCAAACACTGCCCTTAGGACTGTGGAGGCCGCCACGGGGACTCTGCCCTGTGTCCATCACCTGCACATCAGGGTGTACTGTGCTGTACAGGGGTTCTCCTTCCTAGGGTGTGAAGGACAATCTTACTGTCCACCTGAACAGACTGAGGAACACCCAGGAGATGAGCCAAGTACAGCTACAGAGAATAGCAGACTACAGCCACCAGCGGCCCCAGGCTGTGAGGTCAGGAGGAGGTAGTAACTTGGAGGTGGGGACTGGCTGGAGGAAGTGGGTCACTAAGGGGTGTCTCTGGGAACTATAGCTGCCCTGGCACCTTCCTGTACGACTTCTCTCTGCTTCCTGCCCAGTGTGTGAGCAGCTTGTACCACATGCTCCTTCAACTGTGATGCTCTGGCTCACCAGGGACCCAGAACAGACAGAATCAGCATGACTGACAGTGTTTTCAGAGGCCGTGAGCCCACACAACGCCTTCCTCCTTACGTTGTTTCTGGCAGATACCTGGTCTCCATGGTAACCAGAGTTACTCAGAGTCATGGTAACCAGGGTCAACTCAAGAGTTCATGGGGATTCCCTAGGGTATGGGTATCAGGGGTCAAGAGCAAGGACGGAGCTGTGAGGCTTCTGGAAAATTAAATAACGTTCGTGAATTCATTCACATGGTCTGTGAGGCTGGAGAACCTGGCAAAGGAGCCTGGATACACAAGGTAAAGAGTGAAAGGGAGCCGCTTGCAGGGACAAAGAAACCGCCAGTGCTTCAGCATGTGGGAGGCGACAGGGATGCACCAGGCCAGAAGGCATCCTGGGAGGTGGCAGAGGAAAAATCACACTCAGGCCCAGTGACCCCATCACCTCACCACCTGACCTGCATTGTCTGAGATGAACAGTGGAAGCCTAGCATGCAAGCAGCCTCCGCTGAATTTAGAGACAAAGAGATGCTGGAGGCCCAGGAAACAGTGAGCGAGAAAACACCTACCATGGCCTGAGATTGCAGACGGGTTGCTAAAGTGTCCTAGCATGCACAGTGGCCTGGGTTCAGTCCCCAACACTGCATAAAACTGGGTTTGGTGGAGCAAACCTGTAACCAGCATGCAGGAGGTAGGGGCAGGAGGGTCCTCAGCTATATCAAGAGGGCAAGGTCAACCTGGGCGATAAATGACCCTATCTTTAAAAAAGCTCGTGCACGAGAGGGGAAGGAGGGGAGGGGAGAAGGGGGGAGGGGAGGGAAGAGAGAGAAGAGAAGAGAAGAGAAGAGAAGAGAAGAGAAGAGAAGAGAAGAGAAGAGAAGAGAAGAGAAGAGAAGAGAAAAAGATCCACACAGGTTTCCCAAACCCAACCTCTCAGTGTTCTCACTGATGTATCCTCACACCCCTGCTTCTCTGAGGTAGGCCATGTCCTACAAATGCATTTTCTCAGGAAAGGCAGTGCCCTTAGTCAGTCAGCCACTCTGGAGACACCTGCTCTGTGCTGGACAGGGAAAACAGGACAGCGGACACAACCCACTGTGCCTGCTATACACAGGTGACTCACTGCTGGTGCGCTGTGAACTTCTCTCTCGATTTGGGGGCCAGCGGGAGATTCCGATTCTCTGATTCCCAGCTTTCCAGCACAGGTCTGGCCGGCGCTCCTATCTGAGACGCTTGGGGACACAAGTCTGAGCTTTTCTGACTGGCAGAATTTTTTTATAGACTTTATCAGTTAAGTATCCCTAATCCAGAATCCAGAATCTAAATGTTCGGAGTTGATACTGAAAACATTTTAAATTTCAGAATTAGAGTCTGGGATCAAGGCTTCACAGCCTATGTAGGCTTGAAATAGTCAGACCTCAGCAACGAATTTCCGGGGAACCCCGAGTTATGGAGTTTTTAGTGCCAAGCTTGTTCAGCGAACCACCCAGCCGCCCACTATTTTAACTTCTGTGTCAGGGTGGAAGAGGGCTCCCATGCACTACAGACAGGTATAAGAACCGACACAATCTTCATTCCAGCAGCAGGGGGCGCTTTCTCCCCATTAGTCCCAGCTTCCAAACGCTGAGTTGGCAGCAGCCAGAATCATCCAGACTTTCTGTGCAAAAGGACTTTACTTCAGTGACCTCTACTGAAGCAAAACGTCCCCCAGAAGGGGAAATGGTGGGCAAAGAGCTCTACGAAAGGCAATGTTCAGCAAGCAGTCCCTGGAGCCGGCTGAAAGCGGTAGAGTGAGGTCACCGTGAGGCAGAAACAGGTACTGCAGTATTATTCCTAACCACAGGAAAGCACAAGTGAGCTCTCAGCCACGCCACCCTGAACAAGTTTACTGCCCACACACTCAGCAGACTGTGTACAGGCCATAAACATTCATGTTTATGAGGTCAATGCGTGATGCTGATGGACATTTCTAGAGTGGTGCTGAGTGAGAATGCAGTCAAGTCCCAGCTGAGTGTAGGACAGACACTGGCCCTGGGGAGGGGCCATGGCTCCATCACTTTTTTCTTTCCCAGCTTTTCTAGGATGTGGTAAACACAGCTATGGATATACACTAGCTGTGCTGGACCACTTCCCAATCCTTCTTTCCTGTCTGTCTGTCGGTCTGTCTGTTTTGTTTTAGAAAGGATCTTTGGCTGAGCTGGCTTGAAACGTGCTGTGTAGACCACGCTGGTCTCAAGCTACCTCCCTCGGCCTCCACTGTGCTGGGATTAAAGGTGTGGACCTTGCCCAGCCTCCTGGGCTTCTGAGCTCAAAACACAGAGACCTGGCCCTGACTTGCTCAGCCTGTTGGAGAAAGCCGGGCCCTGAAGCTCAAGTGAGCTGAGGTCCAGCCTCATCAGCCCACTGCTCTGCATCTGCCTCCGGTAACTGAAAGAGACGGGGTGGCTCTGGGGAGAAAATGAGACGGTGGCATGGCCACTGATGACTCCAAGCACCCAGTGAGCTCAGACACTGACTTCAGTGCCACCACAGATGACCTGTGGGCCAGATGGGGCTCAGAGACACATTTGACATGCTCTAGTAGTTCTGACGTTTGCATCCACATTAAAAGTCTTGGATTTTATACAAAGCATTCATGACTAAAGTGCGTCCCCTGAAAAGATACATTGAAGTACAGGCTGTGCTGTGCAGCGTGTGGATTTACTTGGTCAGTGAAAGGGAGCACATTGAGGCCAGGGGAGGTTCTGATTCCACCATGATTGGTCTCCCTAAAGAAGACGTCAGTGTGACCAGCAGGGATTTACATAGTGCAAGGAATACCCCCCCCCCATCACTAGAGCTGAAAGGAAATGGGGAAGGGAGACCTCCAGCTGCCAGAGGGAAGGAGCATGGCCTTGTCAGCACCTCAAGGCCAGGCTTCTGGCCTCTTGAATTATAAGACAGCAACTTTCTCCCATTCCAAGAGACCCATTTTGTAGTATTTTGTTCAGATAGTCCTGGGAAAATAGTATGTCAGGATTTACACCTCCCTCGCCTCCTTGTTTACTGAATATAGCCCAGTCTGGCCTCAAACTCGCCAGCTAGCTGAGGCTAGCTTTGAACTCTAGATCTTCCCACTTCTACCTCTCCAGGGTGGGGGTTCTAAGTGTGTTCCATCCCACTGAGGTGAGGATTTACACTGCCCTTGAAACAGCGGAAATGCCTGGCACCATTGGCTCACCTTGTGCCTACCAGTATTCTGTGCCAGAAGCGGCAGCATCCCTACCACTCTCTACTGTCACCCAGACACCACCAGAGAGCGCGTCCTTGGCCATTCGCTATCACACATACACAGTTCTGTTTACATGAAAGTATTTCTCTATAACCATCTCTATCAGAAGATGAGGCCAGTGAGTCTCAGTTCAGGAAGGAGCAAACCCATCCCAGACAGGTGGGCAGGGTGAGGGACACACAAGCCACGCCCTTCTTCGAAACCTCCCTCGAGGGTCTCTAAGTCTCCCCAGTCATTTCCGTGCTACCTCACCAGGACACCAAGGCTGCCTCTGGGAGAAAACACATTTTACAAAAAGAACACTGTTCTGTGTAAATCACCAAAGCTGAGTTCCCAGAGCATGGTGTTGGGTGGCATAAGGCAAGGCCAAGGGTCCTTTAAACCCTTCAGAAGGCCTGGGTATTTATGATTTTAATTTTGAACATATATAACCCAAGGTCCAAACACAGAATTCCATTAGTAAGTTTTCCATGAATAAATTACCATATCTAGGTCACATTACTATGCTGTAATGTATGGAGCCTTGAGACAGCCGTAAGAGCCTTTCTTTCAACAGCCAACACAGCCGGGCCACACAAGTCAAGCCTTTTCTCTGGGTCTGTGAGTGACCCTGTGGCCCTCCCTGCCTCTAAGACCGGCCTGTCCTAAAGGCTCCTTATATGTATGATGGCAGGCTCACCTTGGGGGGCTTCAGGCTCTTCCCTCGATGCCTCTTGGAGCGCAGCAGGCGTTCTCTTTCCTGCAGAGAAGCACACCCACCCGTCAGCACCTGCAACCAGGCCCCGACGCCACCACACCACACAGTTAAGACCCAGAGATTCACCTCTACTGTGTGGGCTAGGTCACGTTCTAGGCACCCCACTGAGAGTCTGGTGACAAGACACTCACTCGGGCCCTTGTCTGGGTACAGATCTCCCAAGGAAACATCCACCCTGATGGGCCATGCCATCGTGGGCAAGCCTGGATTATTCTTTGGGTCAAGAGGCTGCAAAGCCTAAGAGGCGTGGCCTCGGAGTAGTTCTTCTAGCCTCGGCAGGGTCCACAGCAGTTTGAGGGGCCTGTGACCTAGCTCGGACAGAGCCAGGGTGGAATCTCCTACAACCCAGGTGACCACTTTATTTTCTCCAGTTGTTTCTTCCTTGCTGTGCACATGGGGATAGGAGCTGTCCTGCAGCATTGCTTAGTGGGTATCCTCTGCAGAAAGGGCTCCTGTGGGGTAGGAGTGGCAGAGCTGGCAGTGGCACTGTACCCAGATGGATACAGGGCCTCTCGCTCTCAGCACGGCCTTTTCCCTCCAGCAGGACAAAGCTTGACTCAGCCTGAGCCTGGGCATCCACCCATCATACCCTGGCAGGCTGGTCACGATGGTCCCTAGCGCTGCTCTGGCTTGTCACTTTTCTTTTCACTCACTGTCTCTTTAGCAAATGTGTCTCGTCATCCCTAGCTATATTATGTTATCTGGATAATGAAGCCAAGATGGATAGCTATACGGTTAGTGGAAGGAAGGAAGAAAGGAAGTGTGGGGGAGACAGGGGAGGGAGGGGAAGACAGAAAAAGGACATAAAATCCTTCTAGGATATGGTCATGGCTTCCTAGCCTTCACAATCCTATGGATGGAACCTTCATATACACACAGGTCTTGTGAGTAAGCAGAGCCCACTCTGCGTCTGAGCTCCAACTAAGTCCACTGAGGGCGCCGCCAGGTTCTGTCTTCTGCATAGAACATTCCCCTCTCTACAGCAGGATCACTCCCTTCTCCTTTCCACAGAACCAGCCCTGAAGAGTCAGTCTCAAAGCCCACCCGCAGCCTTAGCTGGTCCTTCAAACTCGGGTCTGATAACAAAGTTCAGATTTGCAGGCTCAAACTCCCGGTATGCAGCAGCTAAGCGCAAAAATAAGTATAAGTTAATAATAACTCAAAGGCCCCACAGAACAGATCCATGCGGCCTCTTCACCACGGCAAGCCAGGAGCCCATTGAAAAGTAGGTTGCCATGGAAACTGCTCCCAGGTAGCACTGATCTCATTTCAGCTGAGCTGAGACTCCTTTCTGGAGCATCACAGGGGGCCCAGTGCCTGAGGCTGGGCTGTCAGGGCCCACTCCCATCCCGATGCTCACTGTTGACTCTGCTTCCTGTGGTGCCATCCTGGCCTAGAGGGACAACATACCAGTGAGAGGTCATCGATGACATGCTGCTGCTCCAGCACCTGCAGCCTCAGGAACTCAATCTCCTGCTCATCCCTGGTCAGACTGAGGTCATTCAGGGATGTGTGTCGCTTTAGTGAGGCCTGAGCAGACAGCTTTTCTTTCTGCAGCAGGAAGGAAAGAGAGTGTTGTGGTGTGCTACCGTGTGAAGGACAGGGTTTCTGTGGGGCTCGGGGCGGGGTTGACAGACAACTGGTTCCAAGATGGGCCTTAGCTGCAGGCTAAGGCCAAGCCAGATGTATGGTAACCGTGCTCACTGGAGAGGGTGGAGTGGCAGGGCGTGGGGCAGAGGATGTCCTAAGAGAGTCTTAAAAGCTAGAAGGCAAGCAGGGGCAGGGGAGACTCCCTACCTCAGGCTGCACACACTCACACCTAGGCCCCACTCTTCTAAGCTGTGAAATGGGCGCTCTAATCAATGAACATGAAGGCATCTTACAACCACCCAGACAACAGACACCAGTCATCCTGATGGAGGAAAACCCGAACCCTGTTCCCATATACAGCCCCAACAGCAGTAACTACTCCTGGAGGAATCTGTAAAGCATGAGACAGTCACAGGCCATCATCCAGTGGATAAGCCTGCCCTGCTGATTCTACAAGGCCAGCTGGGATTGAGCCCACTGCTGAGGTGTCCTGGGGGAGGGGTGGATGGAGATCATGGACCACAGAGTCTGGACAAGGGCGGGAAGCCGTGGATAGGTGCGGGAAGCCGACGGGGTCCGTGCTGGGCCTCACCATCTCCACGTTCTCCCTCGTAAGGCTCTTGAGTTTCTCCTCCATCCTCTGGATGCTGTGCAGCAGGTCCTCGTTCTTCTTGTTCATTCGCTTGTTCTTCTCCACCAGCGGCTTCAGCTGCACCTCGGTCTCCCGAGAGCGCTTCAGCTGCAGTGGGTACAGATACAGGTCAGGGGACTGGATGGACCCACGGGTGGCCAAGCTACGCCAGCAGAGCTTCAACACTGTCCCTTCAGGAGTTTAACCCCTGGTGGTCAGTCCAGTCACCTAGTTTTTCCTGGTTACCCTTTGGCAGATGGCAGGGCAACACCCTGCAGACAACAGCCCTGGCCAGAGCCGGGCCACCTCCTGAGCACGAAGGGGGTCCAGTCATACAGCCTGGAGGGACTCACCACAAACTCCAAGCAGACAGTCCCTAAAAAAGTGAGGTGTCCTTCTAGGCTGTCATTTATTCAGCCTTTGGGAACCACTCTTACGCCGCTCTTGGCCCTTTGATCTTCACCCCCGTTCCCAACATCTTTGAGGTAGGAAAGCTTTGTGGTCAGATCCACCTTCTAAAAAAGCCCATGGGCCCATGGTGAGGGCCAGACCAGTGAGATTGGCGAGGGGTCACAAGGGGCAACAGGGGGATAGAGCAGAGAGCTGCATAGTTAAAAGTGGCTTCTCCTTTTCCTCTTAAGCACAGTAGGTGGAATGGTAGGGTCACTGCCCAGCTGCACAACCATGGTCAAGTTCTCAGCCTGTTCCCTCATCTAGAAAATTGAAGCATTTGCCACATCTGTCAGCATCTGTCTCTGCAAAGCTCTTCCAGTGGGCCACAATTAGAAGCAACTGAAATCTCCTCATATCACCACCATAGAAGTGGCTGCCATGTCATCAAGTCCTCCCCATGAACCTGAACTAGCTCTGACCCTCTCAGCTTTCTCACTGAACCCCCCCTTCCACCCAGGAGGGCCATGGCCACTATGCTGTACACCAGAACATGAGCAAAGAAGTGGCCCTGTGGTCACTGAAGACACAGACACAGAACAAGAAGCAGGAATCCAGCACAGAGGCTGACCCGAGCACCCACTCTCAAGTTCTGTGAATGTTAAACTCTCTGATGTCGTGTGTCAGGTACCAAAGGCACCACGTGACCCGTGAGCCACCTGTGGAGATGTACCCCTGCTCCCACTCCAGGAATGACGGCAACAGACTCTCAAAAGCAAAGACAGGCACAAGGCTTCTCGGCATTATTTACAGTAGTAAAGAAGCCGGAAATGGCCTGAATGGCCAGCAGGCAGGAAGCTATGGCACTGCCGCACCACAAAGTCCAAGCCAGCAAAGCCTACGCCCCATCACCAGGGATGCAGGCCGCACTGATGGGTCTAAGCCAGGAGGGCGCATGGCAGAGCATTAACACACAGGGGGTGAGGAGACAGAAAGAAAGAGCTCACTCTGCAAAGGCAGAATCAAACCACCAGCCCGTGGGGTGTGGATGTGTTGATTAAAGTGAAATGTGTAGACGCCCAGATCAGGAGTCAAAGCAGTGGGCAGACCTGACTGCCTCCTCATTTCCACTTGAAAGTTGTTCAGGAAGCGCATGTGTTTTCCTGCCCTCCTTGGTAAAGTACCATGTGGTCATGAGTGTTTATTCAGCTTATGAATATGTAAGCAAGAAGTAGAAATGGCATGGGTGGACAGCCCAAATCTGATCATTTGGTTGTCGCCATCGGAGGTATGCCTCCAAGCACACTCGGAAGAAATTAATTTTCTTTCTACTAAACCTGTGGAGATACATTTTCCTTCACAATCCAGGCCAGAATGAACACCAAGATCATGAGGCTTTTGCCGAAAGGTTTGTGCATTAACATGAAAACTAGCTTAGCTGGGGTCAGGGAGATGGCTCAGCAGGTAATGGTGCCAAACCCAAACCCATCCCCGAACCCACACAGTGAAAAAGGTAAGCCAGCTCCCACAGTTGTCCCCTGACCTCTACAAGTGGCACACACAAGAAAAAAGATATAATGAAAGAAAGAGATGGGGGTTAAAAATAAAAGAGGTTTAGCTGTTTCTATTGTAGAAGTAAGCATATTCATGCACATACTAGTTTTACTGAAGATTTATTTTAAACTATAAGTCTGCGTTCATTCCACACCACACACAAACAGAGAGAGAGAGACAGAGATCTAAGACAGAGTCTCACGTAGCTCAGGCTGGCCTCGCGACTTGATATGAGCTGAAGGACAGCCTTGAACTTGTGATCCTTCTACCCGCCCCCTTGCGTGTTGGGATTAAAGGCTGGAATTACACGTGGTTTACGGAGCACTGGGGATAGAACCCTTACATCACCCCGGGATTCCTGCATGACAGGCAAATGTTCTAGCAACTAAGCCACCAGCATGCATGTTCATCACTTTTAAAAAAATAGAAATGTATCAATTTTTATGCCAAGTAAATAAAGAATAAAAGTAGAATTATCCATAACCACGCCACCTAAAAGAACAGCTTTCCAGATCCGAAACCACACAGCCTGCCCTGTAAACCACTTTCCTCCTGCAGTCTACAGGCAAGGAGTCCCCTGTTGGTGACATCTGCTCCTCAGGGCTGTGCTGCGTCAACCTGGAAAGTCCCCACAGTTCCTGCGCAACGTGGGAGGCTTTAGTGTTGATTGCCTGTGTTTGGTGTTGCTTTCTGTTGCTAATATTACAAAACGCTGTGGTGAGCACCCTATCCAGCGCCCTCTCACTGACTTCCCCAACTGTTTTCTAAGGATGGATCCCTAAATAGACAACAAACAGAGCAATTTCTTCAGTGAGTGTGACACACCACAAGCACACACACATACACAGAGGAAGGAGGGACCAGGAGGCCCTCAGAGGAGGCCCTCAGCATGCACTCTCTGCCCCTTGGCCCAGCCCTTTCCTCGCGTCCACAGACGCCATGTGTCTTGCGCGGTTACCAGTTCATTCCGCTCATCTGCCAGCAGGGTGTTTCTGTCTTCCAGCTTCCGAATCACTGAATTCAGTTCAGCAATTTTTAGTTGAAATCGCCTCACATCTCGCTCATCCATATGTTGATCCTAAAAATAAAAAAACTTTGAAGAAGCTCAAATGATTCCGTGGAGGCTCTGCAGACCCAACGATGACACAATGGGGACAGACCTGTCTAGAGGACTGGGTGCTGAACAAGGTGGCAGACAGACAGACACTCCTGCTACATCCTCCAGGGACACTTCACCTTAACCCGCCTGAGACCTCAAACACCTCAGTGGGGTTCCAACACCAGCCCAGGGAAGCTGAAGCTCCCACACACGTGCAACCCACCTACCCTGCGGGTCTTATAAAGACCTGCCACAAGTCAGTGTGGTTTCTAGTACATGCTAGTACATTCCTCCACAGAAGGCTGTCACGCTCGACATTCAAACATTAGCACCTAATGCAGCATTCAGCATAGAGCATTCATGACATCTGAAGAGGCAGAGGGGAAGGAAGGAAAGGAGGAAAGGAGGGAGGGAGGGAAGAAGGGAGGGAAGAAGGGAGGAAAAAGGAAGGAAGGAAGGAAGGAAGGAAGGAAGGAAGGAAGGAAGGAAGGAAGGAAGGAAGGAAGGCTGGCTTCAGCCTCCTTTTGCCAAAGGACAGGTGGCTGCCCCCACACACTCTTGCCCTGGCATGTGTTGCTAGCCACTAGGAAAACCCTGATTGCCTTTGAGCCTCTGATTTTGCCATTCTCTGGCCTGCCCAGGGTCCTCCTCCTGGCAGAGTCCCCGCTGTGTACCCTGCTCTGAGATGTCCGTATCTCTAACTCCAGCCCCAGCAGGCTCAGAGAGTTCTTCACCATTATCTTCTCAGGGCTGAGTGCTGGGCCTGGCACACGCTGAATATTAGTAAAGGAGGGAAGGACCCAGGGAGGAACAGGAGAGGGGAGGGGAGTGTGAGAGAATAAGAAAGGTCAAAGAAGGGCTGGCAAGCTGAGCAAGGCAGTAGCAAGCAGAGGAAGGATGCGGTAGGTGGTCTTCTCTACGGCTAGCAGAAGATACTATCCCTCACCTGCCCACCCATGAGCTCTGCCATGTCACCAATGCCAGGAGGGAGCTCCCGCTTCGGGCTACTGTGGTGGCGCTCAGCCTCCTTGACCTGGACCAGCTGCTCATCCAGAGCCTCCTTCTGAAGTAGCAGCCTCTGGGTCTGCCCGGCCTGAACGCCAAGCTCCTTCTCCAGGGCCAGGATCACTCGCTCCTTCCCTTTGATCTCGTCCATCTGGAAGAGGAAAAAAAGGGGGGGGGCCTTAACATGCTGACTCAGGACCAAGGTGGCCTCATCCAGACATTGGATGGATGCTGGGTCCACTGAATCGAGAATGTTCTGGACGTGGAGCAGCAAGAGTCTGCAGCCCAGAACCTAATTTCACAAACACCGAAGACACAGCTCTAGGTCTGAGCATCTACAGAGTTATGGGCAACTTCCCGCTGCAACTCAGCCCTCCTCAGTCATCTCTCCACAATAGAAAACACATGATATCCCAAGACACCCCCAATCCATCAGCTCCCTATGGGCCCCAGGCAGGCTAGCCCATCCTGCTTCGTCTCGTCACAGAGCAGCTTCTGGAGGTGACTGCTCCTGCCTCCCACTCATTCGCCAATTCCTTCCTGGATGGCTGGATCCTACAAGCAACTGATGCAGATATGCATGTCCCCAATCCTAACTTCCCTCGGAATCCCCGAGTCACAGAACTACAAGCCACCTAAACGCTGCTTGGGCTCCAGTGAATCCCCTTTGCAGGTGTGGGGAGCCCCCTATTTGGGCACAGAGGGACACTTATATCCTTGCCTACTCCAGCCCAGTCAAAGCCAGTCTTCCCTGGGCAGCATATCAAACAGGGAGCGGAGCTTAGCATGCCTGGCCAGACAGATCAGGGAGCCACACGGACAGAGGTTTGCAGAGGAAAACCCAGGCCATCCTTCAACTTACTCATATGACGTCAACCACCAAGGAAGTGTCCCTGTGAGGACAAGGTCCTAACTAGAGTGTCACCCAGAATCTTCATCTTCTCTGAGACCTCTGGATATGTTTTTCTTTACAAAGAGAACGGTTGCGTAGTCAGGGACCAAAGAACCAGAAGCAATCCCGGGAGCTGGGAAAGGTGGAAAGAACCCTCCTCCAGAGCCTTCAAAGACACTTGGTCCTGGTAACACCTTGAGTTTGGTGTTCTAGCGTCAAATAGTGAACATGAAGGGACTCTAGATTCTCCCCCAGGGCAGAGTTCCCTGAGGCTCCAGGTCCGACCAGCCCAGGGAGACTCTGCCTCCTCCTTTCTGCTTCCTAGCTAGCCTGGACTTGCCCAGACCTCCTGCCCTTCACACTCTACGACAGGTGGATTCCTGGGGCTTGGTGCCATGGGTCACCCTCTGTGGCCCCTCTTGAAGACAGGTTTTGAGGCCTAACCCCACTCAAGGCTGGTGCAACAGTACAGTAAACAGACTCCATTTTACATTTTTGAGTTTCTGGGGTTTTTTTGTTTGTTTGTTTTTGTTCTTCGAGACAGGGTTTCTCTGTAGCTTTGAAGCCTGTTCTGCAACTAGCTCTTGTAGACCAGGCTGACCTCGAACTCACAGAGATCCATCTGCCTCTGCCTCCCTATTAAAGGCATGTGCCACCACCACCCGCCTTTTTCTGTCTATTTTTTTTGTTTTGTTTTTGTTTTTGAAACAATTACTATGGTCGCATAAAAACACAGAATCCAAAGCATCTTTGTGTACCCAAAATCTGGAAGGCAGCAGTAAACCATGATACCATAGCATCTTTGAGGGAGACAAAGGGAAAGAGAGAAAGACTCAGTGCCCTAGGAGCCATTCCTGGGACTCCAGAACCTAGAGCCACCATGCCTGGAGCTCTCTTGCCTTCTGATATTCTTGCTATAAGCAAGGGTTTTTTTTTTTTTGAGGGAGGAGGGGGAGCTGTTGAGAAGGTCTTTCTACGCAGCAACCCTGTCTGTCCTGGATCTTTCTATGTAGACCAGGCTGGCCTCAAACGGGTCCCTGTAAGTTGTCATACATGCCACTGCTCTGACCCAGGAGGCAGAGATGGCCAGAGCAGGCACAAAGAGAAAGAGCATCCTGCCAGGTGTCTAAACATGCCCTTGCTGGTGATGAGCAGGAGCCCCACAGTGGAGACTCACCATAGCCATCCGGGGTACCATTGTGCACTGCCTCACACAGAGCCCGGGGTCTCATGATGAACAAAACTGGCCCAGCACCTGGTGGCCCTCTCACTGGGGCCACAGGTAGGTGTACTAGTGTCAGCTGGTGATGCTCCCTGCTGCTGCTGGCTGCTGCTTTTTGCCTCCTGAGACCTTCCAGGTCCTCAGCTAAAGGAAGGGGGCATCGAGTAGAATGGTGACTCCCACATCTTTGCTAGGTTGACTAGCCCAATCCGGCAGCACTCAGCACCCTTCGAGTTTCTGCCTGGAGACCAAATGCCACTGTGTTACATTTCTCACAGCCATCCTGACCCCATAGTGGCAGTGATGCCAACTAAGGGCAAAGAGGGGTCACATAGATAAGGAAAGCCTAGGCTCCAGGCTTTACTGGTTCCCACAGTACAAAAAGCTACTCTGGTTTTTCTAATAAAAGAACTGGTCAATGTCTACACCTGCTTAACTAACTTACTGCTGGTCTCCCGTCGCTGCAAACCACCAACCAAAAGTCTAAATGCTTGTGTTTGTGGGTGGGGGGATACCTGGACACCACCTTTGGGCTTTGTGGGGTGAGGAAATGACTTTCCTTGACAATCTTTGATGTGACTCAGTTCCACAGAGCCAAGGCACGAAGTCAGGGTGTAAAGGCTTTGCCTTTATTGTCTCCTCCTCTTCCTGGGCCAGCAGAAGACAGGCCTTGGGCGACTACCTAGTCTGCAGCTCAGGGTTTCTGTCCAATAGGGAACTGCAGTCTGGACAGGAGCAGGAAGCAAAGAGTCATCCTGGCCTTTACCGAACCACATACTCTCCAGCCTAGCTTTGCTGATGAGGAAGGCATCCTGTTACCTCCTCCTCTGCTAACACTTTTGATTGATTCTCGATTGGTTCAGAGCCAGCAGAAGACAGCAGAGCATTATCGCTGCTTCTCAAAAATCCTGCCGCATGTCCATTTCCTTTCCTGACCACTTAACCTCTCGTTGCGTGCCGAATGCGGGAGTCCACAAAGCTTCAGGTACTGTGCTCAGTCTGCACGGGGCTGTGCAGCTATACAGAGAGTGACGGCCCTCAAAAGAGCCCTTGAATGGTGCAGTTCTATACAGCCAGCTTCTATTTGATCCCAGCCACCCCAAAACATGCCAAGTGAGGACACAGCTCCGATATGTACAAACACTCTACCGGCCAGGACTGCCTCGGCTGTCTGTGAGTGATGCACCCTCCTGGGACAACAAGAAAACATTACCAAAGGTCCATGGAGATCCTTTAGGCCCTTCTTCACAGCCCCACCCTGCCGGCAGCCTCCACTCTTCCTCCAGTGCCACCATCCTCTTTGCCCTTCTCCCCTCCCTCTGGGTAGAGATATGCCTTCATCCTCATCCTCAGGTTGGCTTTTTTCTCCCGGCACATGTCTGAGTCCACCCAAGTTCTTGTACACATCAGAAGTGCTCTCTTCCACACTTCTGTGTAATATTCCTTTAACTGACTGTGCTATTATTCACATTCGTATTAACTGCCTATTTGCGTAGCGTTTTTTCTTTGTCCTTCAGGGAAAGCAGGCCTTCACGTTTAATGTGTGACCTTCCTGTAGGAGCTTCTCCTTTTAAGGGGGTTGGTAGCTCTATGCCCACTGGGATTAACTACTGATGCGATCTGTTTACTCCTGCCTCCCTCTTCTACTCGTCCCACCTGAATGTCTATGGCACATCCTTCCTTTCTTCCTCGAGCATAAACAAATCCTCAGATGCTTCAATGAGCTTTCAGCTGAGCCCTTTTTGTTTGTTGTTGTTTGCTCTGGATCCTCTCAGAGCGGCACACCTCAGGGGAGATGTGAGGGCTTTACAGGGGTGTGAATTCATTAATGGCCCAGGTCTTACCCATCCCCGGGCCACACATCTGCTTCCCGGCATTGTGCAGGCTTCAGTGTTTTATCTGAGCAATCAGTTGAGGTTTAAACTAAGGACCACGGATAACCTTTAAGCGTGTCTTCCCTAGTCATTCTTCCCTTTTTGCCCCAGCAGCATTGTTGCCACCTTAGTTCCCATTCCTTGGAAAACATGTTTATCTCATTGCCCCCTTTTCACAGAGTGCCACGGCTGGGTCCGGGGGCTCCACACTGACAGGATTACTTGGCTTGCTTTGCCTCACAACACTCCCATGTAGAAGACACAGGCTCCCATGTGTGAGACACGGAGCTTCTGATGATTTCCTGGGATTACTGGACTTTCTACCCGAGTCACCCAGCAGCTGGATATGACATATATAAATATGTCACAGCAGAGACACCCCATATAGACACCCCACTGTCTGGGTGCTGTTTATTGAAATGCCATCCACCTCCTACTACACCTGTTCCTTAGTCATGTGATGACGTATTTACAGGGCTGTTCGAGCCCCTTCTGTTCTTTTGATCTGCCTTTACCTGCAGCCTCACTGTTTCAATTGCTGTAACTTGGTCAGGAAGGGGCTCTGGGTAAGCTTGAGCAAGGCTCTGGCAGGCCCTGCCCTTCCCTCCCACCCTCTGCCTTACTCTAAAGCTAGCTACCAAGGTCTATTTCCTTATTTGGCTCCTGAGGCTGATTAACAAAGTTCAGCTATCAAAGTATTGAAGTCCAGCAATCAAACGCCCCCTTTGGCTCACTTGATTAACATGCCTAATTAAAATTAAACACCTCATCCCAAAAAAGGGTTTCTCCCTCTATCTACCTTTATAAACTGCCCTTCGCCCACGGGCCACATCTGTCTCCTCTATATTCAGAGCAGTCCTCAGGGGCAAATAAATATCCCTGCCCCCTTTCCTTGTTCCCTTCTCTTTCTCAGTCCTCTGTCTCCTGTCTTCGTCTCTTATCTCCTGCTCTTTGTCCCTCCAGGCCAAATAAATCTCTGTGCTGAGGACTTGGTCACTTTTCTTTCATGCAGTAAATCATGTGACAACCTGGAAACTTTTAATTCTTCAAGGTTGTAACTCCAAAAACTGTAACTTGTGGGAAAGAATGCTTGTCTAGAATGCATGAAGCTTCAACCCTCACACACACACACACACACGTGCACACACGCACACGTGCACACATGCACAGACCCATGCACACCTACCACTCCAGATCCTTCAAATGCTTGCCGGATCTGTGCTGCACAGTCCTACCCTTCAAACAGAAACGCCATCTTTACACTGTCCAGCGTGTACTCAGGAAAGTTCAGCCCAGCTGGGTTTGACTACTGACTTCCCCACACGGGAGGGGCAGGGCCAGTCACCAATACTCCCCCGACTATCCAGTCCCTCCTCCCAGTTGCATGCATGAAATTCTGCCCTAAAAGAACTGGGTTTTAGGACTTCAGGGAGGTTTGGGCGTGTTAATTAAGAGGGGCTCCATCTGCGCAGGTGTGGGAAGCCAGCATCCACGCTGAGTGCAAAGCCTCCTGTGCACTGCTAACCATTACCCACTCTTGACACACCCCACACTCATTGGTTTCTCCAGATGAATTCTGGGGAATAAAACTGTCATTTCGGAGCTTATGAGGACAGGGTAAGAAAATGCTTACCCTGTCTTCACTGTCATTGTTATCGCCTCCCTCCCCCTCAACTCAGCCCCCTCACTCTACCCTACTGACCCCCCCCCCCACACACCTCATAGGAAAATTCTTACAATAGCCTATGAAAAAGTTAACTTGGATTCTGGGAAGCTTGCATTCAATTTCATCAACATTCTCATCAATGAAAACTATTTACTTAGCTCTCTAACTCTTCTTAGCAAGACTTTGTAGCCGGGTAGAACGCCTATACAACTTGCCTTACAATTGTTCCTGGAGCCTTCTTCCTGCTATTTAAGTGTTTCTCTTTCCAGCTGTCAGCCGCTAGTGTATAAAAACAAAGGGTATTTTGTATCTACTTAGTATCAGAGCTTGGACAAATGTGCTGGCTAGTTCTGAGAAGCCTTGAGACTAAAGACCTTGTAGGAGAGGCTGAAGCCATCACGTGCCTCCCTTTTGCCGTTCTGTGCCATCCACTGTTTGAGGGCATGGCTGTGAAGGTGCCATCGTGGGAGCAGGGACTGGGTGCTCGCCGGACACAGAATCTGGTGCTACCTTGGCTTTCTAGTTTCCAGACCCACAATTACCCAGCCTGTGCTATGAAACAGACAAGGAACAGATCCCAGACTCCTGCAGCAGCATTACAGAATTCACATGTAACCAATCAGGTTCCTCTTCTTCCAACCGTTAGAACTTAGTTCTTCCGCGGTCCTCTGTGCACTCTCCACCTGACTAGTGCAAAGCTGAACAGAAGAGGTGGTAACAGTCCCTTTGTTTGGGTCATGAACTTGAGTGGGAAACCTTAGCTGGTTCATCATTATGACAAACATTGTTAGCAGATTTCCAAAAGAACAGTTTGTCAAATTAGAGCAATTCCACTTTGATTCAGATATTCTAAGAGTGAGTCCGGAAGATGGATTTTAAAATGTTTGGAATGCACCGATGAAAATGGCCACATGGGGTTTAATCCTTTACTTCATTGCCAGATTAAAGCCTGTGGTGGCCCCTATGAGTGGATCTCTGAGTCTGAGGCCAGCTTGGTCTACTTAGCAAGCTCCAGGCCTACATCCAAAGCTTTACAATGAGACCCTGTCTCAAAACATCAAAAATAAATAAAGCATACTCTCTGACTTTAAATTGGTAAATACTAAACTGATCTTTACATTTCCATAATTAACTCAACCTGGTCCATGATTTCTTAGCCTTCCAATATAGCCCTGGTCTTTCTTCGTTAATACTCAATTAGTATTCTTATAGCTGTGTTCTTAAAAGATAAGAGTCCCCCAATTCTCCACATGTCTCCACATGTCCAAGGACTTTGGGTATTTTCTACTCCTCTATTTTCCTGGATGCCTTTGGTACTGTGAGGGTTAATCTCTGTCAATTTAACCAGATTAAAAGCAGCTAGGAATCACACCTCTGGGTGTGTCTGTGAGGATGTTTCCAGAGGTTTAATTGAGGTAGGACGCCCCATGCCATGCAGGGGGTTCCGGACTGAGTAAACAGAAGTCAGCTGGGCACCAGTATCCATCCATCTCTCCTTGTTTCCAGGGAATACACTGAGCAGCTCAGTGTGAGCAGCTGCCTCCACTGCCTACCCCAGGCCTTCCCCACCAGGATGGGCTGTAGCTGCATCCTCAAACTGTGAGGCATAAATGAGCTCTTCCTTCCTTGAGCAGCTTTCCTGGAACTAACTCTGTAAACCAGGCTGGCCCCGAACTCACAGATATCGGCCTGTCTCTGCCTCCTGAGTGTTGGGATTAAAGGCGTGTGGCCACCACCGCTGGGCCCTTGAGGGACATTTTATCACGTATTTGATTTTAGCACTGAGGCAAGTCGCTGATGCAACCAGGATTCAGTTCCTTTCCTCCTTAAATATTTGAAATCTGAAAGCCTTTCCTGTTGGGGCACCAGGTCCAGGCTCTTCTGCATGTGAAAGTACCATGAGCTAGTGGCCGCCAGTTCCTCTAAATACATCTCATCTGTGGGTCCACACAAGCCAGAGTGTCTTCAATGTCAGGCCTTCACTGTCCTCAGTTCACCCCCGAGTGACTTATAGTTAGCCATGTTTCCCTTCATCCATATTGTCGGTACTGAATCAATTTATCAATTTTAATTAATTTCTGAACTTCTTGATTTCTTTATTGGTTTTTGTCTTCAGTAATTCTTATTCTTTATAGTTTTCCTTGCTCTACTTTCTGGGAGGTTAAATTAATATTATTATTATCGTCATCATCACTATCATAGTGTGCTTTATGACATATGTATTTGAGTATGGGAATGAATGTGCCATGGCATGTGTGTAGGGTCAGAAGACAACTTATAGGAGTCAGTTTTCTCCTCCCACCAAGGGTTCCTGGGATCTAACTGGGATCATCGAGCTTGCACAGCCAGCACGTTACCCAATACATTTGTCTGTCTGTCTGTCTGTCCTCCTTCCTGATAAAGCAGCTCGGATGGCTGATTTCTGGCATTTCTTTCATCTGCAGTGTGTTTTGCCCTGTGGGTTGATGTGGTACCAGCAGTCCACACATTGTGAAGTACAGCAGACTTTTGATGAGGGTTATATGATGTATGTCCTTCCCGAAGAGGACCCCTGTAGGCTGCCAGCAAGTCCCACCACTAGCTCAGAGAGATTTTTGGCCAACTCTAACTACAGGGCTGTCTCTTCCTCCTCTTAGTCTTCAAAATATTTCCTTTTACACACTTTAGGCTTTCCTGAACAAACCTTTACTACTAAGTACTGCCCTTGTTTAGGACCAGTGTGACCTCCTGACTGAGAGCCTTTATGTCTACAGCAGCAGGCTGGCTACACTCAAGGTCACTGCCAGCATGGCGTCTCCCTGCCCTTTCACGTTCCACCTAACACAGCCCTCAGCTTTCACGGTGGCTCTTCTAAACATCACCACTTCATGCAGTCTGAGAATCTCAGCTAGCTGGGGAGGCTGCCCAGGGTCTTGATGGACACCAGGCTGTTCATCACAGTCCCATACATGTACAGAGCACTGTCTCCTGTGTCTTCTAGGACTGTGGGAGATGCCCCTATGCCTTGTGGGCCCCCAGTGGCCTTCCACATCCTTCAGGGCTCAGGAGAATATTACCAGTCTACGGCCATACTACCCTGGAGGGCCTGATTTCATCTAATCTCAGAAGCTAGTCAGGGTTAGGTCTGGTTAGTACTTGGGTGAAAGAACAGTATTAGCAGAGTTAGCTAACCCAGTTTGCAGACTGCTCCTTCCTGCAACCATTGAGATGACTCAAAGCTCCACTCATCTTTTAACCTCTAGTGGGGTCAATGCCTAGGGAACATAGACTAGAGCTGGTGGTACCGCTATTAGCTCAGTGAAGTCTCCTTCCTTCAGAAATGCGAGTCATCTTCACTTAACAGCCTTCACCCCAACCACCCCATTTTTAAAAATTACAATTCTCTGCAATTTACAATTCCCTGTTGCAGGTCTGGGTCTTACCCAGATGTAGCGTCCACTCCCAGTTCGGGTGAATGAAAAAGAGCTGCACCTTCAGCCGTGCCTCTACAGCCACCGAGGTCCTCTCTTACAGCCCCCCCATCCTCCATCCGCAAGCCCCACTACAAGAGACAAGGAAAACTGCTCCTGACAGTTTGCAGATCTGCCCAGAACCATGCCGCAGGAGAGACCTGCCATGCTAAGCCTACAAGCAACGCGGGGAGAGCCAGGACTTTGTGAATACCCCAGTACCTCCAACCGTGCCTGGAGCAAATAAACCGCCAGGTGCCTGAGAGAAAGTGCTGTGGCGAGAGACGCCACGTACCAGTCTGCGGATGTCACGTTCGCACTCCCGCTTGATGCGGTGCACCTCATCCTGGTGTGCCTGGTAGGCAGCGCGCAGGTCAGCGGCCTTGGCCTTGTCGGCTTGCATGCAGTTGCTAAGTGCCTCCTCCGCCTGTTTGCGAGCCGCCTTCAGCTCCAGGATCTCCTGTTGCAGCCGCTGGCGCTCGCCATCAAAGGTCCTGCGCGCCTCCTCGCGCGCCTCGGCCAGCAGTGCGGTCTTGACTTTGTCTGCGGCGCCATCGCGCAGCACGTTCAGCGTGGCCTGCAGCCGCTGCAGCTCGCCTTCCTTGATCTTGGCTGTCCGAGCTGCCTCCTGCTCGTGCTGCCGGATGAGCGCCTCACGCAGCGCCTGCAGCTCCTTCGTTTTTTCCTCGTGAAGTTTGGCCTTGAGCTCCGAGATGTAGGCTGTGTGGCGCCGCTGCTCCTGCTCGCGCTCCAGTTTGGCCTCCTGCAGACGCTCCCGCAGCTTGCCCACCTGCCACCAGAGCAGGAACAGGGGTTAAGGGCAGACCTGCACTTTTTCAGTCTCCGCCTTCTAACTCCCCCTGTAGGCCACACCCACTGTCCTCTAACTCCCCGTTCTTTACCCCAACTTCATCCAGATCTTCCTTCCCAGTTGTTTTATGATTTTCCCTGAAAAGCCAAACCTTGAAGACCTTTCAGTGCTGAACTGTATCAGAAAGAACAAGAAACTAGAGACAGCTGGAACAGAAACTGTCTCTCACCAAAACCAGGAAGATTCCAAACAGTAGAGTGTTTCTAGAATCAGAGCCCAGAGCCACCCAAAGGGGCAGGGTGGAGCCCTAACATAAGGGCTGGGTTACTGCCATCCAGCTAAGGATCCACACTTAGGAAGGTGGGCTCACCTTAAGCCATTCTAAAGAGATGGGTGGGATAATTATTTTTTTTAATGAAATTCCTTCCCAGAATTCCCACTCCTAGCACAGAAGCTCATAGTTGGCAACTCCATAGAGACGCCGCCGGTGTGCCCACTGTCCTGTAATGTTTTGGGCTTCCCTCCCCACCATGTGACTATCGGTCAGCTTGTGTCTGACCTCCTCACCAGCAAGGTTTTTTCCCTTCTCTCCTCCTCTGGCAGCAGACGAAGTTTACAGCTCACCTGACGAGGGGATTTTCTTTTACAAACAATCCGGTACCTCCATTTGTCCGTTCTTAAATTCTTTTATTAATGAGACTAAGAAACCCCCATAGTGGGACCCTCTGTGTATACATCTGTGTGTCTGTATCTTGTGTGTGCATCTGTGTGTGTCTGTGGGTGTATCTTGTGTGTGCATCTATATGTGTCTTATTTGTGTGTACCTTGTGTGTGCATGTGTGTATCTTGTGTGTGCATGCATGTGTGTGTATCTTGTGTGTGCATCTGTGTGTGTGCATGTGTGTATCTGTGTGTGTATGTATGTGTATTTTGTGTGTGCATCTGTGTGTCTGTATGTGTGTGAGTGTATCTTGTGTGTGCATCTGTGTGTGTGTTTGTGTGCATATCTTGTGTGTACATCTATGTGTGTCTCTGTGTGTGTGTACGTGTGTGTATCTTGTGTGTGCATCTATGTGTGTATGCATGTGTGTGTTAATTATAAAGGTTGAGACATTCAGGGAAGCTGGTCCCAGGACCTGTGCTCAGCCTGAGCATGCTGGGTGGGTCTGGTCTGCAAACCTTTTACATGACCTGTAATAAAATGCACCTATGAAGTGATTTCTTAAGTGAGTCAAATAGCCCAGGTTACACACTGCACAGCAGCCCTTACACTACCTGTGGGATTCTGTAACAGTGGGTGCCAAAGCACTGAGACAAACTGCCTCGGTCATCCAGACTTCTGAAGAGAACAGCAATGTCTTCCCCAGACCCACAAGATTTATAGCCAAATAGGGGGAATTAAATGAGTCTTATGACATCATCTCAGTACTGGCACATCCGTCCATTAACAGCCAGGAAAGATGCAAATGACAATCCTGAGGCAGATGTAGGAGACCAGTATCTCCTGACATCACACGCAACCACGGAAACAACAGCGGATGCCAGTCATGGCTGGTCACCTCCCCCAGGGCTGGAACTGGAGTTATCACGGTGAATTTACTGCCGGATGTCAAGACTCAAACAGTTCACAGATGACTAAATGCAAGGAACACGGCCGCTGAGCCAGGACTGCTGTCCCAGCCATGTCTGCCTCAGACAACTGTGGGGTGTCAGGCCTCACAGACTGGGTTTCGAGTCATCTTGGGGATGGTGAGGAACACATCTAGACATGATCGCAATGGCACTTCCAGAGAAAACTAAACGAGGGGAGAAAGGCAGCCCTGAACGAGGGTGGCGCCATCCCGTAGGCTATGGGCCAGGATGGAACAAAGGGAGACAGGAGAATGCCGCCTGAGCATCACGTTTTTTTTTTTCTGCTTCCTGGCTGCCATGTCTGGCCGCCACTCTGCTCAGCTACACCTTCCCCGCCTTAATGTACAAAACCCTCTTAAAGTCAGAAGAGTCAAGTAAGATGTTTCTCTCTTCAGTGGTGCCTGTCCAGTGTTGACATAACTGTTAAAAAGATACACCTAAAATTGACACAAGAAGTAGAGTCATTGCTAAGACTAAACCTGAGTACACAGTTCTCAGGGCTGGGACTGGTCTGGGGGAGGAATGTGGACGAGTTTGTAAAGGTCTAGAGGGCCGCAAGCAGAGCTCAGTGGTGGTTCTGGGGGGAGGTCGGGACAGAGCCGGGCAGTAAAGACTGACTGCTGGGAACTTCGGATGGGAAGAATGGTTTTGAGCCCTGGACTACAGGTCATTCAAGATACCATCTGGAAATTTCTGGTTTTCTATGGAAATATGGAGAAAGAATCAGAGGAAAATGTGAAAAGCAATTGTTTGGGCGGAAAAGGAGACAGCTGAACTTTATAGACAGGAGGGTATGGTGGTTAGAGATGGCTGCTATCATTAACAAGGAACCAAGCACTTAGTACCGTGTATAGAAGAAGTTGGCCACTAAGAGACTACAGTACCCATGGCTCCAGGTTTGCTCCAACTAGAAGCCGACCTTGGCACTGTCCACTAACATCGGTATTACAGGCATGTAGAATACAAGAGTTATAGTGTCATGGTAGGTGTCCACCTAGATTTTTAAGGGAAGTCTGAGGAGTCAGGCAATATGAAGTAAGATGAGAGTCCCTTTAAGAAACCGCTATGCCAGCAATGCGTGACACTTGAGGGTAAAGCCTAAGCCACAGTACATATATCAGGATGTTGGAGACGCCAGGAATGGGGAGCAGCTTCTGAAGAAAGCTGCAGACAAGGGAAGCCAGCCCAGGACGCAGCTCACAGGAGCTACAGATGACAAGGCCATGGGGGTAGGGCTGCCCAAGGTCGTCAGAGCTCACACCAGGACACCACGGGTTAGTCACGGAGCTACAAGATTTCGTGTTTGCGCCTCAGAGGTTCAGTCTGTTATGCTTTGTTCCCACAGCTCCTTTCATGGCCCCGGTCCATTATATTTTGGCAACATGTAAGTTTGTTTTATTTTTACAAGGTTTCATAGCTAAGAGATTGCCTTGCGTCTCAGCAGAGACTTTGAACTTTAAACAGTGTTGGAAGTGTTATGATTCTGGGGACTTGTGGACATAGACTGAATGTATTTTACATTCTGAGATGGCCATGAATAGCGTTTTGGGGTCCAGGGTGGAATGTTAGGGTTTAAGGAGAGCTGACAAAGGGTAGGCTTAACCATCAATGGGACTGGGTTTAGACTCATCCTGTCAGGTGTCAGACCAGGTGGGGAAGACCCACCCAGCAGCTGGGGCCACCATCACATGGGCTGGGGGCCTAGATGGAATGAGAGGGAAAAGGAGAACTTCAGTTAGGCTCTGGCAAGCCTCCTATTTCAGCTTCCCTGACGTGAACTATGTATTCTCTGCCACACCTCCCCTGCCATGATGGGCGGGTCCTCTGAAAAGGTGGGTCAGAATAAACCTGTCCTTCTCTCCCCGCCCCCAGGCCGGTTCAGCCAGTATCTTTGTTTTCCCAGCAGAGAAGAGGAACTCACGTAACACAGGGGGCTTCAGCTCTGGGACTTTGTGAGCTTCAGAGAACCTGGCTCACCCCACAGCTGGAGGAGGGGCCTTCCCTCAGGCAAGAAAGCTTGTTACTGCTGCAGTGAAAAGCCTGTAACCGGACCTTGCTAGACCTGGAAGCAGTGTTGTGATTGGTAGAAATTATTAATACCACATTTGCATGTCACTCTCAGCCACACCCTCTCCAGGGCACGAGCAGGCTGTAACCTTCACTTTTTGACCCAGCAGGACACACCCTCCTGTGCTGCCCCCTGGTGTTTGAAGAGGTTATCCTGAGAAGTCTTGTCTACCTTTGCACTTCCCCGAGGGTAGGGCAGGTGTTGTAGGTGTGGGTGGCAGCAGAGGTGGTGGCAGTGGTACCACCAGAATCAGGAAGCCAGCAGAATCACAGAGAGGAACCGGGCAAAGACTGCGGGGAGCAAAAGCAGGAGACAGCTCAAGGCAGTGGAAGCCCAGAGAAGGAGGAAAGTCAAGACAGCAGAGGTGATAGGCTTCAAGGGTCAAAGGCCAGAGCTGCTGGCAGCGTTCAAGGAACTGTCAAGTCCAAAGATCTAAGGGTCCCGACATCCAATACCTAGGAGCTGTGGCAGCAGCTACTGTAAGAGCCTCGGGTCCTGACACTCAAGGCTGGGGAACAGAGTCCTATTCACATTACCTCAGACTTGGGGGCCTTTTCAGGCCTAGTGTTCTACCCTGCCAGCCGTATGCCCATCTAACCCTATCCCCAGCTGTTACTGGGGTTGTTTGTGTGGGCTGTTGAACATTTGAGGCAGTGTGAGTCTGTTTGCTTCCTCTCCAGTCAGCAAACTGTTTGGGGCCAGCTTGAAGATGGTCAAGAAGCCTTCACAGGCCCAGCATGCCCTGTGCATGCTGAGACCTCTGACGTGCCAAGCACTAGTTCCTGCATGCCTCTACACCACCAGTTGAGGGAAGGGGCTGCCTCTGAGTCACCTCATGGCAAATGCAGGTCACCCAACTCACAACAGGCCGCTGCAGTAGGCGTGCAGGTCCTTCACTGAATGAATGGTGGAATGAACATTTGCTCCACATTCCTTCTTTGCCCTCAAGCCTTTGATGACTCCTCTGCTAGCGTAAGGACACTATTAGCATGGCCTTGCCTGTTAGTATGATGTCATGTTCAATGACTCCTTAATGAACACATTTGGGCTTTCCATGCTAGCCTGGAGGATGCTCTACTGAGTTCCCTGAGATCAGAACTCATCCCAGTGACAGGACAGACAAAAGTCCTATGGAGACTGCAGGGTGAGGCAGGAGGAGACAGCAGCCAGGACATGGCTAGACTGAGAGCCCCACAAGTCCCAGAGCTGAGAGCACCCTGGTGTCAGGAGACTCTCGTGGGTCTGTAATCCACACTGCGGCATCTGCGAGACCAGGCTAATCTGGTGTGGGCACTCAGTAATACCTCCCAGAACAGATGCGCTAACGCTCTAAACACTGGGACGTTAGGATAGCATTAGATTGGTGACAGGACCTATAATGAGATCTGTATGAACTAGGACATTATTCTGGGTCCAAATCCCATTTGTGATGGTTATTGTTAACACCGACCTGGTAGATGTTCGAGTCACATGAAGATGGGCCTCTGGGCATGTCTGGGAGGAATTATCTTAGTTACATTAATCAATATGGGAAGTACATTCTGCAGTAAGGAGTACCCTGGGCAGGGTGTCCAGGACTGCGTAAAAATGGAGAGAGCAAGCTGAACACTGACTCTGACTAACTGCTCTCTGCTTCTGATTGTGAGGGCGCTGTGACCAGCTCCCCAAGGATCCATTGTGCAGCTGAGAGACCTCAGACCCTCCCATGCCACAGCCATAGCCACAGCCACAGCCACAGCAAAGATTATGGCAGTGGGACTCTCCCCTGTAGCTGTTCTATCAGACACTGGGGACAGCCTTGAACTGGAACATCACCTGCAGGCTCAGAACAAGGCCAGGGAGACTTTAAATCCCTCTGCAGTTACTTAAGTCAGTGACATCATCAAGATCAGGAAGCCAGTCTGGCTGAACCAGGAAGAGAGGCCACCAGGTCTGTGACTTAGAAAGCTGGAGCCTCCCCACAGTGCTGGGTTGGCATCGGTACCTTAACTGATTTCCTGAAGTATGTGGTCCCCAGCCAGGCACTATTCCAACAGACTCCAAAGCTCATACATGCCCTACGAGGGTGAGAAAGCTCCTGTGGCAGAGGCAGGCTCTTCATAGAGGGCTTGTCAGGACTCCTACTGTGACACACAACCCCCACCCCCATCTTGCAGGGAAGAGAAGCTGAAATGCAAAGAATCTCGCAGTCCCACCAAGCCTCATAGGCAGCATGGGGTAGAAAACTGCCACCATGCAGTCTGCACAGCTGCCTCCTGTTATCGGGAGGGGCAGCCAAGGCTCCAAAACCCGGTAATACACCCCTTCAGAGCCCCATGCTCACAGCCCAGCCTGAGGCGGCGCCAGAGGCCCTGCCCCACCTTGCTCTTCTCCTGCTGGAACTCTATCTGGATGTTGGTTAGCTTGGCCCGTAGCTCTTCGTTGGCCATCTGCACAGAGTCCGTCTCCGTCTCGGGCTTCTCACCCTTGCTGCGTCCCTTTTTAGACATGATTCCTCTTGGAGCGTGACACTGGGGTCCTGGGGTTCACGCCCACCCACCAGCAAGCACAGCTACCGGCTCTGCTGTGCTAACCAGTCGTGCAGGGCTCCGCTCGTCCTCTGTGCGCACCATCACTTGCGATTCTGTGTGGGGAGAAGAGAGACCGAGTAAGCACACAGGCAGTGTCCCACTAGCCTGGGCACCCATGGCTAAACACTTGCCTCGCCCTCAGAAGGCCTACTGCTCACAAGCCGGGCCTGTCACAGCTCACTGAAGCCACCTCAGAATTACCTGGAAGATGTTATGCATCTTACCATCCTTGTTTATGTTACAACCATGCTATGTCTTACCATCCTTGAGACTTAACCACTCCCACCCTGCTGGGCCCAAAATAAGACACACTCCAGTCAGGGCAAGACCATTACCCACCCCATGGGATGGCCACCTTACTGAAGGTGGGAATGGGGATGATACATTACAGGGAAGGATGCAGGAAAGAAGGGAAGGTAGAGAAGGAAGTTTCTGGTCCAACCATAAGAAACTTGGAGTCCAAAGATAGATAAACAAAATGAAAATAAGAAAATCTCTTAGATCTGTCAGAGAACTGGGGTCACAGGACAAAGCGATGCCCAACAGGCAGCCAGAAGCAGAGGCCAGCTCCTGAGTACTAGTCCCAGGTCCTTCGCACCAGGCCCAGCTCCCAACAAAACGAAATAAGGCATACTGAAGGAAAAGCATCAAAGAGTAGGCCCAGAGTTAGACTTTAAAGAAATTCTGAATTCCATGCAAAGGGCCTCGGAGGAAAAAGTAGACAGCATGTAAGAGCAGATGGCCTGACAGCAAAGATGAAAAATGCAGGAAAGGATAAAGAGATGTCAGAGAGGCTGCGAGCTCACAGATACTAACATAGTATGTTCACACTGAGACGTGATGGGAAACACAAACGGCAAAGGGATCCAGCGCGTCCAAGGAGTCGGGGCAGTTTCTCCAGCACAACACCGAGTTAGCTGGGTCAATAGCTGTGATCAAACACACCAAAAGCAACTGTAGGAGGAAAGGCTTTGTTTCAGCTTGTAGTTCTACATCACGCTCCATTGCTGAAGGAAGTCAGGGCAGGAACTCAAGAAGGGCAAAGACCTGGAGGCAGGAGCTGCCGGAGCTGATGCAGAGACCATGGAGAAACGCACACTTAATGGTTTGCTCCTAGGCTAATCTGGTGGGAACATTGTCTCAAGTGTGGTTTCCTCTTCTCAAAGGACTCTAGCTTGTGTCATGTTGACATAAAAACAGCCAACACAGGGGGAACAGAAGAGAGAGAGGAAGACCTCAGGACTATCTTAAGCCGTGTGTAGTCTTCCACAAACTAGTATCAGACACCAAACTGCAGATTTGCAAACTGAATTTGCACTTGAGTATATCATATGCAAGCTGCAGGTGATCAGAGATGAAGGGGAAAAAATCCTAAAACAAGACTGGGGGAAATATCTTGGCTACAGAGAAACAGGATAAAAATTCAGCAAACATCTCTGAAAAAAAAATGACACAAAGAAGAACGGAGCAAAATAGTGTTTAGAGGGGAAAGTCAACCTGTCATTCAGTCACCTGAAAAATTGCACCTCAGAGATGGAAAACCAGAGAATCAGACACCATGCAGACTTCCCCTTTAAGATGGCTAATAAGAGAAATGCTTCAAAGAGAGGTACAATGACCTGGATGGAAGTCAAAAACTCCGTCTAGCTGGACATGCAGTGCACGCCTTTAACCCCAGCATCGGGAGGCAGAGGCAGGTGGATTGTCAGAGTTTCAGGCCAGTGTGGGCTACGCAGGTGTCCCAAACCAGTCAAGACTACATAGTGAGACCGTCTGCAAAACCAAAAATAGACCTCAGACTAAAGAGGAGAATGAACAAATGAAAAACATAAAATAATTTAAAACTATAATCTACACAAAAAGGAAAGCGCTCTAGAAAAGGATAAGTAAAACACAATAAAAATTTGCACTTTCTATTCTTAACTGATCTGACAATCTGACAGTTTGCTGGAGCTGAAAGAATAGTGTGCTGGGTGCTTGTAGCTCAGGGACAGGCTGCTGGGGGCTGGGGGCCAAGGAGTGGGGGAGGGTGAGCATTCAGAGGAAGCCAGACCCACAACATACTATAGAGCAATGGTTCTCAACCTTCCTAATGACCCAACCCTTTAACACAGTTCCTCATATGGTGATGATCCCCCAAATATAAAATTATTTTTGTTGCTACTTCATAACTGTAATTTTGCTACTGTTACGAATTACAATGTAAATATCTGTGTTTTCAAATAGGTTTAGGAGATCCCCTGTGAAAGGGTCGTTCCCCACAAAGGGGTCATGACCCAAAGGTTGAGAATCTCTGCTACAGACTAAGCAGAACCCATGCCAATACTATAGTATATTGTTCATCTAAACTGGACTTAGACCACTTATAACTGTTTGTTGCAAACTAAGTAGGGCTCCTGGTTTTGAAAAAGGAACAACTTGAGCTCATCTTAAAAGAAAATGGAAATATTAAGCTACAAAAGGCAGAAAGAGAGTAGAAGACAAAATCAGTTACAAAGAAGACTCAACAACAGGGACAATAACTAACTGGGCAGACTCCGGCTAGCTACACCTGCTCTAATTCAACCAGCCAGAGCCCAGCGGCTTCAATAGCAGGCCACTGCCCCATGTTAAGGTCCTGCAACTGCATGTGATGGCCAGGGGAAAACTGACAACAATAATATCTGAATGCAGAAGGCCCCAAAATTAATTCAAAATCAAACAATAATCCCATGGCGTCACTGCAGCCTTGGCTCTGAACACAAGCACTTCGCACTACGAATGCCAGCTGAGGCTGCAGGGAGCACCTGGCTGCATCTCACGGCTGCTGTATTTTCTGCTCGTCTCGAAGCAGAGCGGTTCCAATAAGAAAAACAGAAGCTTTTTAAATATTCCTACCCTCAGTGTTCAGCATGTGAATATCAAATTAGTGTATCTTTGTTGTGTTGTGTTAGAATGTTGGATTTTTAAAAACACTATTTGGGGCCCCCAAGAAGGCCAGGTGGGCAAGGGTGCTTGCTGTGTAGCCTCTGACCTACACACTGAAAGGCAAGAAGAGACTCCTGCAAGTTGCCCTCTGACTTCCACGCATGTGCACACACATATGATAAATAAACATAGCAAAAATGTCTTAATTGCTGTTTGTGTTGCTAGCATATTTCATAAAGAATCATTCAGTGGATTCTGACTCACAATTAAAATAGGATTTACAACAACTTCTGAAATGGCCCTAAGCCTGCTTTTGTTATTCGGTACGGTATGTAATTATGCAAAGTGATATTTGAAGCTTTAGGATTATGAAATTAAAATTTTAGTCAGCTCTGAAATGTATCAGAGGTGTCCTATTCCATCTCTCAGTGTCAAATATTCAGCTGATATTTAATTCCTTGAGTAAAAACAAAAGGCCCATCCTGAAAGTTTGTTTTCATCTTTAATAAATGCCAAAATTATATGAACAGGAAAGAACTGTTTTAATGTAAATTTCTTATGAATTACTATCAGGAAGTGTTTGATTTGGGGGTTTGTTCTATATACCTTTAAACCCGGGGTCCTGTGAAAATTACTCCAGCAAAAAGGGATCACAAGGAGAAAAAGCTTTAGACGCACTCACAAAAACAGAAACTGGTAGAGTGGATCCAAAATAAGACCCAATCATTTGCTGTCTGCAAGACAGCGCTGGATTGTAAAACCCCTGTGCACAAAGCCCGTCAACACAGACACTGTCCGCTGGGGATGCACCTGCATGAAGACAATGCTGGCAGGTCTCCCTCCCACTCACTGCCCCCCCCCAGCTTCACTTGTCCCTCTATCACATGGACAATAACAGTCAGCAAGCTCTCTGCAAGGCTCAAACAACTGATGCTAACCACAACTGTTCCATTCCCATGTAAAAGGAAGCACTCCACATCATACTCTGAAGGAAAAGGGAGGGAGGGAGGGAGGGAGGGAGGGAGGGAGGGAGGGAGGGAGGGGGGGGGAGGAGAGGGAGGGAGGGGGGGGGAGGGAGAGAGAGGGAGGGACGGAGGGACAGAGGGAGGGACGGACGGACGGAGAAATGGAGGGACCGAGGGATGGAGGGAAGGCAGGCAGGCCATAGAGGGATGTGGCCAATGCTGAGCAGAGTTGTTTAGAAGAAGCAAATTACAGGGCTGGTCATGACTCAACCCCTCCTGCATGGGGGACACAAAGTCCATGACTCCCTGAAGCTTTCCGCCTTCCACAGGTTCACTTTCCAGACATGAGGTTGGTGCTCAAGTGGGTGATACACCCTGGGGCAGGGGAGTCTTTGTTGATTTTCTAGCAGGGCAGAGGCTTCTGGGGCCAGGGATGCCAGCCCTCTTGTGCTCTCTTGCCTGCAAAAGGCACTCCTAGGGTATGCCTTGTAAATCCCCAGTTCCCTACACTTCTTAGATTCCTTTGCAGAAGTGGGTTATGTGACCATACTTGGGCCAAAGACGTGTGAGCGATTATGGACTGAGGGATTTAAAGCCTTTGACTATTCTTCTAGGCTAGCAAAACCTTACATTATTTGCTGAGGTGGTGACAGGGCCGCGGGGACATCTGGGCTCCTGAATTCAGGAGGCAGGCCCAGGCAGCCTGCAGCAGAGGACTCTGAATGAACCCGAACTGTCCTTTCGAGCTTCCTTCATTGGCACAGCTCGGCTGCGCCATGCCTGGCAAGTGCTCTCCCTGACCTGCCTGCCTTCTCCTTATCATCTATACCCATCTTCAGAATTCAACTCAGATGTCACTTGCTTAGTGCACACTTACCAATGCCACCCCACCCCTTGCAGGGCGGGAAGCGTCTCCTGTCCACCCACGTTCCTGTTTTCCTTTCCACAGCTCTGACGTGTTCACACTGTTGGTGGAGAGGAGCTGAGGTTTGGGAATGTATTAACCAACTTCCCCTCATTTTAAAAATCAAGTATGCTCCCTGTAAGGAACTCCAGGAAACACAGAAAAGGGGGATGAAAAGAAACTTCTGTGCCCCCTAATGTGTGTGTGTGTGTGTGCGTGCGTGCATGAGAGAGAGAGAGAGAGAGAGAGAGAGAGAGAGAGAGAGAGAGAGAGAGAG